AGATGCTTTTGGGATAGAAAAGTGGGGATATTATTTATATAAAATACAATTTCCACCAGAGGATATATATTTATTTTAATCAAAGGATCTTAGGAGTCAGACTCAGGGTTAATATAAGAAAAATCAAGCTACTGTGTCGTTACTGTCTAGAAAATAATAATCTGAACAACAGTTAACATATTTTATATTTCTTGTATTTTAACATTCAAAGAAACTTCAGGGCAGGCTTTTCCTTTTAATTCTCTTTTTCGCTGCATAGCCTGTTAGCCTTTTCTCTCTCAGTAAAGAAGAAAAAAAGTCAACATATAATTTGTTTACTAAAAAAAACCTTAAGAAACTTTTATTTGATATTAGAATCAGTATACTGTACTAATATTCAATGGATTCCATGAAACTGAGATATCTGCAAAACTACAAATAGAACACTTCTGTTTTATACACATGAAATGCTCATCTCTCTTTCAATTCTGCATATGGAATCCTTGCCCATATTTGCTGAAATAATGTAAATATCAATTCAATATGATAAAATAATAGGTAGGATAGGACTAGGCAAAAAGAACAACTACTACTCTATGCAGAGATTTATTGATTCTAAGATTATGACTAGGTTTTCCATAAAATTGCTTTAAGGTACAGTACAAAAATGAAAACAACAACAAAAAACCTCCACTCCAATGATTCTGATTATGTTGATGAAAGAAAATGTACTTCTCGTTCCTCCTGTTCCAATTGCTTTGTAAGATTTTGCTCTTTCTGCTCTTTCTCAGTTTATGTAAGAAAATAGTCGCTTGCTTATTATCCAAGCAATTTCTGATATAAGTCCTTTGTAACCCCATTTACTTCCAAATAGAAAGTGACATTAAAATAAATCCAAATTAATATTCTAGACTTACTTTCTAGCACTATCTGGGTTCACCCCCATCTCAATAAACTATGGTGGCCATCTATTAGTTAATAGACTTACATAGCCACCCATTTAATGAAACAAGACCCTGGGTAGCATACAAATATATTAACAATTAAAACCATAAAACAGAAAACATAAATAAAATGTATAAATCAGACAAACATAAAGAGTATAAACAATATGGAGAACATCAGTCATTGATTTTTTTTTTTTGAAATTTTCATGCTCACCATGAGGTCCCCAAGTTTGATGGGGAAAAAAATCAGGTTTTATGGGCCTTCCACAAGGTAAATACGAATGAGGGGAATGAGGTTTCAAAGAGAGGTGGCCATGACAGAAAAGGCATGAGTCTTTCCAGATGGAACTATTTGGTAGATGGGTCCTTCAGCATACTTCTCCTGTTCAAATTGATGAAATGAGTAGATGTGATTGGAATGAGGTGGTCTTTCAAATAACTTGGTGCCGCACTATGTAGTACTTTAAAGATCAAAACCAGATTTTTTGGTTCCAGATACTAATGGATAGCCAATGCAACTTAACACTGCCTTGGGGTGCGCATAGCTGAGCACTCAGATGTACTTTGCACAAGATTAAGGTTCCAGATCCTTTCCAAGAGTACCCCTATGTAGAATGGATAAAAGCTATCCAATCTGGAGATGACCAGTGCATGAGCGACTTTGAGTATTGTATCCCAGGAAGGGATACAATTGGCACACAACATAAAACAGTACAAAGGCTCTCTTAGCCACCAGCATCACCTGATTCTTGAGTAGGAGTTGTCAATCTAGAGGGGTCCAGATTGTCATGGAATTTATTTGGGATAGTGCAACTCCATACGGAACAAAAGACGGTAAAATTTTTGCTAGAAGAACTCAAAAGCCAAAGAAACTTAGTCTTGACAGGGATCAGTTGAAGCCTGTTTCCCCCATTCAGAATCCCACAATCTACAGGTACAAGGGCAACACATGAACATAAACACTTAGGTCATCAGGGGTGAAATTTCATAACTGGATATTAGTGATACTCATGGCAACAAATTATCTCACTCAGTAAGATAGAAGTGTTAGATAGGAGAAAGTGCTAAATTCTGCAGAATCCCACATGATGGGAATTGAAGGCAGGACCTCTCCATCCCAATTTAAAAAAACCCCATCTGATACTGGCCCTACAGAAAAGAAATAAACCAAACCAATACTGTGCTATCCACTTCCAACACAGGTAACTGATCCAGAAGAATACCACTGATGGTATTGAAAATTGCCTAGAGGTCAAGAAGAGTAAGAACATATGTACTATTCCATCCTGCTGTCTTCAGAGATTATTCAAAAGCATGACCAATATTGTCTCTGCCCCATGCCTGGGGATATGGAAAAATATACCATGGTTAAGTTGACCAAAATACGAAACCAAAATGGCCAAAATACTAAACCATACACTAAACCAAAATCAACCAACCAACGTATTTGTGATTAAACTGCTTTGTGTGTCTAGACTGTACAACAAAACCAGAATGAAAAAAGAAAAATGAATCATGATCTAGGAATGGAAATTGTTGAAATTTAAATACCAGAAAATTAAGCTTATCTAAATATTTAATAAGAGAAAGTATATAATTCCCACCCAAATTAATGTTTAACTCCATGGAGAATATTTTACTATTGGTTGCTTTCTTTTATTTGAGCAAACATCTGTTGGGGTTATCTAGCTGAGGCATTTTTAATATAGAAGTTTCATGCTATGGAGAATGAAAAAACTTTATTCTGCTCATATTGTTATCTCACTCCTTGTGCCTACCCCTGAGGTAGGTGCATAATGGTTTAATAACAGAAACAGAAGGCCCACAAACCTCTATACCCCATTTAAAAAAGCAAAACAAAACAAAAACCTTATATCGTTGAGATCTGAGCGTCAGCCTTTTACTGGAAGATTTCTTGAGTTATGAATACAGCAGTTTTCCTAGTAGACAGTATCCTTATTTATAAAGCTCTGTCTTAAAATGTCTGAAGTTAAAGAATTAAAAACAAAAACAACATAAATTGCTGTCAATCAGGAAGCCCTTTCATCGGCTCTTGACTTCAAAAGGCATATTGTTTCCCAAATGGATAGATCAATCACCCCACACTACATCTGCTATTAAGAACAATTTCACTATACTGACATCTCCAGGAACTACTAGTTGATACATATGTAATTTAACATTCAAGACAAACCAAACACATTCAAGCAGCAAACCAACTGCAGGCATTTATATAATACTGTTCCCGTTTACTAGACTATGTAGTTTTAAATCATCTAGAAACCATCCCTCTCCAACTTCCTCTGCTATTATTTCTTCTAATTTGTAGTCTTGTGCCAGTTACTAAAAGAAAGCCTAGATGAATGAAACAAAACAGCTTCAAAGTAATCATTGCCTTACCAATTTCTAAGGTTTGTTTCAATAGCTGTTAAATATGATTCCATCCTTCAGTTTCAAAAATTCAGACGATCACTAGGAGGAACTAAAGAGATTCAGAAAATATTAACTCTTTACTGTTATCTGATTTTATACTCCACCTATGATAGCATTATTTTTAAGAAAACTAAGGGATTCAGTTAAAAAGACCATTTAAAATTTCAAGTATTATTAAAAAAAACAATACTGTACTAATCCAAAAAGCAATTAAACATGTTCTAAATCACCTTGTTCGAGCAGCTTTTTCTCCAAGGGAAAAAGCATCTATGCATGGTCTACTGCTGTGTTCAGTAACAAAAGAAGCAGCTTTGAAGAAAACTGCTGTTTAGGTTCTCAAGTACTAATATAAATGCAATTAAAATCCTCCAAGGAAAAAGGATATCTTACAATTCTTTGATTATTTCAAATGTAAACCAAATTTAAATTAATTTAAAACATATGTTATTTTAACCACTTCCTTAATTCTATTATTCAGATAATACAATGTCATTAAACTTATATATATGGCATTTTTTTGGTCAACCTGATTTACTTTATGTAATAAAAAAGCATAAAAAATACAGAAGACCAAGAGAATGCACAACTATAATTCTTTCTATCATCACCCCAAATCTAAACTCTTATTAACATCAGAAATGAACCTAAGGGAGACAAAGCAACTCCTTCTCCAGAAACTTCTCTGAATAAATTTATGCAATAGTTTTGATGTGCAGTTGTTTCATATTTAGAAGCAAATGATACTTCAGATAAATGAGGTTTTCAAACATCATACCTCACCATTTTTTTTGAAGCAGTCTTTTCAGAAAATTGTCTTCTGCAGCTATAACAAGATACTAGGATATGACTAACTTGGTTTTAGACAGGGGTGTTAAATTGCAGGCCAGATGTGTCATGTGCAGGCCACACCCACCTTGGTTCTGCAAAGGTAAAAACATCATGAAACATCCCATGATGCAATCGAGTTTGATACCCACTGTTTAAGGAATTACAAACAGGTGTTACATTTATATTCCTGCATGCCAAAAACAGCATTTTTCCTTCAAAGCATTGCACATAATGAGGGCCAAATTTGGGGAAGTTGGAAAAAAGAGATCTGAAACCAGAAAAATCATTTTCAAAATACAGTAGCTTCCATTTTCATATCCAAGGCCAAGAAATAAATTTCAAAAATTGATTACTATACAAAGCAGAAAAACATGATATAGGAATTAAATCCTGGATCTGAGATACCTATGGCTTGATTTCTATTTTTTAGAATAGAATAGAATAGAATAGAATAGAATAGAATAGAATAGAATAGAATAGAATAGAATAGAATGAGTTGGAAGGGACCTTGGAGGTCTTCTAGTCCAATCCCCTGCTTAGGCAGGAAACCCTACACCACTTCAGACAAATGGTTATCCAGTTTCTTCTTAAAAACTTCCAGTGTTGGAGCATTCACAACTTCTGGAGGCAAGTTGTTGCACTGATTAATTGTTCTAACTGGCAGGAAATTTCTCCTTAATTCTAAGTTGCTTCTCTCCTTGATTAATTTCCACCCTTTGCTTCTTGTCCTATCCTCAGGTGTTTTGGAGAATAACCCGACTCTCTCTTTTTGTGGCAACTCCTGAGATATTGGAACATTGCTATCATGTCAACCCTAGTCCTTTTCATCAAACTAGACATACCCAGTTCCTGCAACCATTCTTCATATGTTTTAGCCCCCAGTCTCCTAATCATCTTTGTTGCTCTTCTCTGCACTCTTTCTAGAGTCTCCACAACTTTTTTACGTCGTAGTGACCAAAGTGGCATTAACACTTCATGATCTTGATTCTATCCCTCTGTTTATGCAGCCTAAAACTGTGCTGGCTTTTTTGGCAGCTGCTGCACAGTGTGTTGTGGTTTGCCGGCAACCAGTGTGGACGGCAGAGGTATCTGACAGTGAGGACGAAAGGGAATCAGTCAGGGAGTCTGGCGAGGACTTGGACGAGGGACCTGCATCTGATGCAGGGATGGGACCAAGACTATCTGAGTCGGGTGTTGCCTTCAGAGCCTTTGGAGTCTGCAGCAGCGAAGCAGAGGACCCCGGGGAGCCTGTGCATGTGCGCAGGGCTGATAGTAGGAGAGAGCAGCTGAAGCAGCAGGGACGACTTGGGAGTAAAGCTGGGAAGTGAATGGCCCTCCAATCAGGGACAAAAGCCAGCCCTCGGTGATGTGCTCTTTGCAGGAAGCAAAGAAGTTAATTAGATTCTGATTACTCATTGAAGCCCTGCAAACTCTGGTTTGTCTTTGCTGAAACTTCTGTCAGTTGGTATTTCTCAGCAATTGGACTTTGTTTCTTGGGAGCCTTTTACAACCCTGAAAGGCATGCTCTTATCTCAGACAGTTGTGTTTAATGAGTTTTGGCAGGGAATGCAAGGAATCCCCAGCATTGCATTAAAAAAGCTTTGCTTTTACAGACCGTGTGTGTTTCTTTAATTTGAACAAAGCCTGGGTCAGAACACATTGCTGGCTCATATTTAAATGGTTGTCCACTAGGACTCTAAGATTCCTTTCACAGTTACTGACGTATACTGTACCTGTGCAATTTATTTTTCTTGCTTAAATGCAGAACCTTATTTTTTTTACCATTGAATTTCATTTTGTTAGCCAGCACTCAATGTTCAAGTCTGTCAAGATCCTTCTGTATCTTAAGCCTATCTTCTGGAGTGTTAGCTTTCCTGCTAGCTTGGTGTCATGTGCAAATTTGATGAGTTCCCCATCTATCCCTTCATCCAAATCATTGATGAAGTTGTTGAAGAGTACTGGGCCTAAAACAGAACCTTGGGCCTAAAACAGTACTAGGCCTAAAATAGAACCCCTCTGCATACTTCCCTCCATGTAGATGCAATTCCTTTGAGGACTACACTTGAATGCACTTGGTCAGCCAATTATGAATCCATCTGGTGGTGATCCTGTCTAAATAACATTTATCTATTTTATCAAGTAATAGGTTATGGTCTACTTTATCAAATGCCTTACAGAAATCTGAGTAAATTATATCGACAGCATTCCTCTGGTCCACTAATTTTGTCACTTTGTCAAAGAATGCAATAAGATTAGTCTGGCATGATCTGTTTTTGACAAATCCATGTGGCTTTCGGTTATTACTTTGTTTGCTTCTAGGTGTTCAGTGATTCATTGATTCCAGAATCTTCCCTGGTATTGAGGTCAGACTGATAGGTCTGTAGTTTCCTGGATTTATTTTTTCCCCTTTTTTGAAGATGAGAACTATATCAGCTCTTTTCCAGTTCTCTGGCAGTTCCCCAGTGATCCAGGATCTTTGAAAGATATAATTCAGTGGTTCTGAGATATTGTCTGCCAGTTCCTTCAGAACCTTCAGGTGTAATCCATCCAGTCCTGGTGATTTGAACTCGTCTAGGGTAGACAGGTGCTCACGTACCATTTTTTCTCTATTTTAACTTGTGATCCTAATCTGTTTTTGTGGTGCTGCTTTTGATAGGTTGGACTTTTTTTCCCTTTGTGTAAAGACAGATGCAAAAAATAAGTTAAGTAGTTCTGCTTTTTCCCTGTTGCTTGTTACCCTCCTGCCACTTTCTCCCAACAATGGACCAATTTCCTTAACATTTTTCTTGTTTTTAACATGTTGGAAGCATCTTTTTTTTGGGGGGGGGGGTTATTTTTTACTTTTGTCACAAGCCTTTGTTCATTATGAGCCTTAGCTTTCCTTACTTCATCTTTGCAGGCTCTGGCTATTTGCTGATATTCTGCCTTAGTTATGTACTTCTTTTTCCACTTTTTATACTTATCCTTTTTGTCTTTCAATTTGTCAGAGTTGTTTATGCAGCCATGCTGGTTTCTTTTGAAAGCTGTTATTTTTCTTCTTCATTGGTATTATGCTAGCCTGGGCTTTTATAATCTCACTTTTCAAAGCTTCTTGAGGATTCTCATCTATGGAATCCTTCCCAAGCTCTCTCTAAGTTATTGAAATTAGTTATCTTTTCTTTATTTAAGTTTTTATTGGTTTTTAAAAACAAACATAAACAAACAAAACATAAAAATCAAGCCATCTTCCATATGTATACATACAGTGTGCCGGTTGGTTTACAAATTGTTTTGTGCTTCCATTTCGTGGTCTTCAATTACAATTACATTGCATATAATCTCATATTTTCAATCAAGAATTAAATACCTTAGTATCATTATTAATCAATCATTTGACTATACTTTTACTCATTCATGTTTTACAAGATAATCATAATTTACTTAGTTTGTTTTATAACTGTTCATATTATTATCCAAAATCTATCCTAAAATCATTTTGTAGATATAATAAGAAAGAAATACATCTTTATATATTTATTATTTTCTAAGAGTCTACATATTTCATTACTGTATTTTATTGTCTAACCATTGATAGAATAGATCCCAGATTTTATAAAATTGTTTATCCTCTTGTTCTCTAATTTCAAATGTCAATCTACTCATTTCAGCACATTCCAATATTTTCTTAATAATTTCCTCCTGTGATGGTATTTTCTCATTTTTCCAGTTTTTGGCAAATACAATCCTAGCTGCTGTTAATACATTTACAATCAGATATTTCAAGTCTTTACTATACATTTCAGGTAAAATTCCCAATAAAAATATCTCTGGTTTCAAATCTATGTTTTTTTGTCATTTTTTCCAACCACGTGTGGATTTTAGTCCAGTATTTTTTAGCATCTGCACAAGTCCACCACATATGGTAATATGAACCAGGTGTCTGATGACATTTCCAACATTTTTCGGATTTATTCTTGAACATTCTTGCTATTCTTGTCGGGGGAAAGATGTTTTACAATGCTTTCTCTTTGCAAAAAAGAAAGTTTCTCTTTGCATAAGGTGTCAAAATATGATAGTTTCTGCTATGGGAGAGAACTCTGGGTTGATTTGTCAATTATCCATTTGTTTGTTTTCTTGAGTTTCCATAGTATTGTCCAGAGTCTTTTCCAATACCAAATTTCAAAACCATTAATGTTTTCTATCCTGCTTGACAATTCAACTTTTGTTTCCATAATTTAATCTTTATAAGTACAGATGCATAGTGGTATCCAAACACCCTTTCAAAGAGCTAACTGGTAAGAGCTGGAACAGTACAGACTACAATTTCAATAAAACAGCAGGCACTGTTGAAAGGGTGTTTGGGTGTCTGTTCAAGCTATCATGGATAGGAGAGTTTACAATACTTGTCCTGTTGGACTCTGAAATTGGCATAGACAACAAGCTGAGATATTTCGCTGGAAATTTGGTTAACTGTGTTTTATTTGTAAATTCTTATAATTTTTTTAGTAACAGTATAATATATTTTCTTATTAGAGAGCCAGATCCTTATTATCACTATTCTATCATAGACTCCTGTAGCCATATTAAATATTGTACACTGCTCAAAAAAATAAAGGGAACACAAAAATAAGACATCCTAGATCTGAATGAATGAAATATTCATATTAAATACTTCGTTCATTACATAGTTGAATGTGCTGACAACAAAATCACACAAAAATTATCAATGGAAATCAAATTTAGCAACCCATGGAGGTCTGGATTTGGAGTTACATTCAAAATTAAAGAGGAAAAAAACACTATAGACTGATCCAACTTTGATGTAATATCCTTAAAACAAGTCAAAATGAGGCTCAGTAGTGTGTGTAGCCTCCATGTGCCTGTATGACCTCCCTGCAATGCCTGGGCATGCTCCTGATGAGGTGGCAGATGGTCTCCTGAGGGATCTCCTCCCACACCTGGACTAAAGCATCCCCCAACTCCTGGACAGTCTGTGGTGCAATGTGGCATTGGTGGATGGAGTGAAACATGATGTCCCAGATGTGCTCAATTGGATTCAGGTCTGGGGAATGGGCGGGCCAATCCATAGCATCAATGCCTTCATCTTGCAGGAACTGCTGACACACTCCAGCCACATGATGTCTAGCATTGTCGTGCATTAGGAGAAACCCAGGGCCAACCGCACTAGCATATGGTCTCACAAGGAGTCTGAGGATCTCATCTTGGTACCTAATGGCAGTCAGGCTACCTCTGGCAAGCACATGGAGGGCTGTGCAGCACCCTAAAGAAATGCCACCCCACACCATTACTGACCCACTGCCAAACTGGTCATGCTGGAGGATGTTGCAGGCAGCAGAATGTTCTCCACGGCGTCTCCAGACCCTGTCACATCTGTCACATATGCTCAGTGTGAACCTGCTTTCATCTGTGAAGAGCACAGGGTGCCAGTGGCGAATTTGCCAATCTTGGTGTTCTCTGGCAAATGCCAAACCTCTTGCATGGTGTTGGGCTGTAAGCACAACCCCCACCTGTGGACGTTGGGCCCTCATACCATCCTCATGGAGTCTGTTTCTGACCATCTGAGTAGCCACATGCACATTTGTGGCTTGCTGGAGGTCATTTTGCAGGGCTCTGGCAGTGCTTCTCCTGTCCCTCCTTGCACAAAGGTGGAGGTAGTGGTCCTGATGCTGGGTTGTTGTCCTCCTACGGCCTCCTCCATGTCTCCTGATGTACTGGCCTGTCTCCTGGTAGTGTCCCCATGCTCTGGGCACTATGCTGATAAGCACAGCAAACCTTCTTGCCACAGCTCACATTGATGTGCCATCCTGGATGAGCTGCACTACCTGAGTCACTTGTGTGGGTTGTAGACTCCATCTCATGCTACCACTAGAGTGAAAACACTGCCAGCATTCAAAAGTGACCAAACCATCAGCCAGAAAGCATAGGAACTGAGAAGTGGTCTGTGGTCACCACCTGCAGACCACTCCTTTATTGGGGATGTCTTGCTAACTGCCTCTGCTTTCCACCTGTTGTCTATTCCATTTGCACAACAGCATATGAAATTGATTGTCAATCAGTGTTGCTACATAAGTGGACAGTTTGATTTCACAGAAGTGTGATTGACTTGGAATTACATTGTGTTGTTTAAGTGTTCCTTTTATTTTTTTGAACAGTGTACTTATCCTAATTTCCTTTTAAATTCAGATTTGGGAATTTTAAATTGATTTGGGAATGCTGTGCAAAGCTATCCCCTTATAATTGCTGATAGTTCTTGACACTGATCTTTTAGTTAGGAGAAGACAAAATTATTACATAATCCAGCACCATACAGTCTGGATTGTGGAAACAGAAAAAGTATTTGAAAATAGTATAAAGTGGAGAGAGGGCTGAATAAGAATTGTTTGAGTTACTTATACTGAAAGGTCATCACAAAGAGGGAAGACAAATGTCCTTATTTTGAGAAACAAAATACAAGATCCTCACAAGATCTTTTTTACATGACAGAGAACTTTTGTTGATGATAAGTGAGATGATCTATAGAGGAGTAAGTGAACTGAAAAATCAGAGATAACCAAAGAAAAGTCAACAAGAGAGATTGTCCTAGACCTTCCCAGACAGGCCAGAGACAAAAAACAATGTTTTTTAACATCTCATATATGGTTCTGAATCCTTATGGAAAAGGATTTAGATAATCCATTTCATCCACAGTCCTCTGAAATTGTTGCCTTCACCGTGTCAATCATCTTCTCAATCACTTTCCCC